AGTCCAAATTCGTTGATTTTCGATTTGGTGCGACATTTCCGAGTGTCACGTTACAACACCTTGTGATTGGCTTAAATCCTCGGACCTTCCCTGTTTTGCAACAATATAAATTTTGTCCAACTGTGTGGACCTCTCATACAATAGCCAAGATAAAAGTCAAGTACAACTGTGGGCGAGTTCATCCTCGGTTCTCTGTGGTCGTTTACGTTAGCGTTCATTATTTTGATTTCCAAGTCAAGGCAAAATAGGAGGAAATGATGGTGCTTTGTTTTTTGGTGATTTCATTTTTGTAGTGATTCGATTGGCTATTCCAAAACACTAGCAATTCGGTTGGCCAATTTGAGTGCACCTTAAACTGTCATATGCTATGTAAAATTTGTCCTGTCTTACACACTAATTTGGTGTCGAAATGGTTGAAGAGTGGATTTGATTGGCTAATTGATGAGTGATCTGGGTTTTGATTGGCCAATGTATTGCCTGCCGATTTGGTGCTGCGTAATTACTGTTAGTACTTCGATTGAGCTCCCCCTTTTGCTTCGATTTCATCCCCATCATACCGTACAAACATGGAAAACAGCGTGCGCCAGAAGGGAGGCATTGATGTCTCGGCAGGAGACGAGCGAGACTACCGCCATGTGGAGCTAGCGAATGGTCTCTGCGTCCTCTTGGTGTCGGATAGCGAGGCGGAGAAGTCGGCGGCGGCCATGGACGTCCGCGTGGGCCATCAAAGTGACCCGGACCACCTCCTGGGGCTTGCCCACTTCCTCGAGCACATGCTGTTCATGGGCACGAAGAAATACCCTGACGAAAACTCGTACTCGCAATATCTGAGTGCTCACGGCGGTAGTTCCAACGCGTACACGAGCGGCACGGACACGAACTACTACTTTGACGTGCGGCCGCCGTACTTTGAAGAAGCATTAGACCGGTTCGCGCAGTTTTTCATCGCGCCGCTCTTCACTCCGGGGGCGACGGAGCGCGAAATGAACGCCGTCAACTCGGAGAACAACAAGAACCTGCAGAGCGATCCATGGCGCCTCGATCAAGTGGTCAAGCACACGTCGAGCCGCCGCCACCCGTTCCACAAGTTTGGCACGGGCAACCTCGTGACCCTTGGCACAGCGCCCACCGAAGAGGTTCTCTCTCCTTCGAATGGTTCCGTGATCACATATATCTTTGTAGGTCCGCGCGGAGCTCATTGCGTTCCACGCCAGGTACTACTCGGCCCGCATCATGAAGCTTGTGATTGTGGGCAAGGAAGACTTGGACACGTTGGAAGGGTGGGCGCGATCCAAATTCAGCGAAATCCTGGACACAGGCGACAAGACGTTCGAGTACGAAGGCGTGCCGTTCGAGGCGCCGCAGCTCCAGCGTCGACTCAACGTCGTGCCCGTCAAGGACCACCGATCCATCGAAGTGTCGTGGCCGCTGCCGTCATTACGGTCCATGTATTTGGAGAAGCCAGCGAGTTTGATTTCGCATTTGCTTGGTCATGAAGGCCCAGGTATCCCATATATCGTGTGACAAGTCTTCACAAAATGCGCATTCGTAATCTATGTTTACTATTTTGAATATATATGATTTCAATATTTCGGTTTAATATTTATAACTCAACCTGCTGACCATCTCGACCAATATGTAATACCCAGCATCTTTATATTTATTTATTTTTACACATGTTTTTTCGTTTTTTAATGTTTAGCTCACACCCCAATAATATTTTGCCCAATTCATATTTCGAATGTTTGTGGTTCAAAGCAAGTTGACGAATTTGGTTGTCACCTCGAGTATTTTGTGATTGTCTGGATCCAACTGGTTTCAAACGAAACTCTACGATTGATTCGCAGGTATTATCAACTTTTAGTCGTCGTCCTTCGAACCTTGTTTTTGTTTGTTATCAAAAAAACACCGAGATATTGTGCTTTCGAGTGAAACTTCATTCGAATTTAAATCGATTTGATTGGCTACCTCCGATGAGCTCAAAATTATTAGCCAATCAAACCCTTCTCAATGAAATTCAACGTATCAAATCGATTGTGGATCGGTTTGGTCGGCGCGATTGATTCGATTGCACCCCAAATTTGTACTATCAAATCGACAATAGTTGGCTCCATTTTCGATCCCGAATGAGATTGATTTGTTAGACATGAATTAAAATATATCGACGATTTTGACTTCTTTTTTGTATGCATCCAGACTCACCCGACAAGCTATTTCTTCAGTATTTTCGATTTCATTTGAAATTCCGCGTACATATCTATATAGAAAAAATATATATATTTAACGTGACGATATTGAGATATTTCACAACTTAGGGTCGTTGCTATCGCATTTGAAGCGTCAGAAGTGGGCCAACGAGCTCTCGGCGGGGCTAATGAAAGAGTACGACGACTGGAGTTTGTTCTGCGTCGAAGTCGAAGCGACGGAAGCCGGCTTGAAGCACGTGGACGAGATCGTGGACGCGATCTACCAGTACTTGCACCTGGTGCAGCAAGACCAGATTGCGCCGTGGGTATTTGACGAGACGCAAAGCATCGCGCTCATGAACTTCCGGTTTCGATCAAAAGAAACGCCCATCAACTACGCCACGTCCCTTGCCACGCGCATGCAGCTGTACCCGGTGCAGCACATCGTCGCAGGCAGTTCGCTCCTGTACACGTACAACCCTGTCCAAGTCGAGTCCATCTTGTCGCAGCTGACACCACGTCGCATGCGGCTCACGGTCGTGGCCAAGGATTTTGAAGGGAAAACCACCGATGTCGAGCCTTGGTACGGCACATTGTACACCGAATCAGCCCTACCACCCAGTCTCATTCAACGGTGGGAGAGCCCAGCGCGAACCGAAGCGCTGTTTTGCCCGCATCCAAACGCGTTCATTCCGCATAACTTTGACTTGGTCACGACCCCGACCCCTGGGAATGTGCCAGTGCTCCTTCGCGACGACGCGGCGGCGCGGCTATGGGTCAAGACGGACACGACGTTCCTCAAACCCAAGCTCAACATTTGCCTCGCGCTGCACTCGCCGCTGATTTACCAGAGTCCGACGTCGGTGGTGCTTACCGACTTGCTGGTACGCGCCATCAAGGACCAGCTGACCGAGTACACGTATGACGCCGAGCTAGCTGGGATGCGGTACTCGCTGAGCTTTACCGCGACCGCGCTCGAGCTGTACGGCGGCGGGTACAGCGACAAGCTGCCTGTGCTAGTCCAGCTCATCGTGGCCAATATGGTGCACTTTAACATGACCGACGACGAAACGTTTCACCGGTTGAAGGACAAGACCAAGCGCAGCTACGACAACTTTGAACGCGACGACCCGTATAAGCACGCGCTGTACTTTAGCTCGTGCTTGCTGGAAGACACCAAGTGGATGGTGGCAGAGAAGGCCGCCGCGATCGCGCACGTCACCCGCGCCGACCTCATGGAGCACGCCGCGGCGCTGTTCCGCGAGTTGTTTGTCGAAGCATATTACCATGGAAACGTGGATGCGGCCACTGCGACCACGTTGCTAGACGACGCGCTCGCGACGATCGGAGCGAGGTAGGTCGTACATGCGACAGAGGGAGGGGTTTCGGGGTAGGGGGATCTGATTCTGAATGTGTGTCGTGTGAGTGTTGTGATTGCTTGATTCGGATCCTGGACGGACACGGCATGGCTCTGCTTCTCGACGCGTTTAGAAGACGACGACTATTAGAAGACGACGACTATCCATGTAGTACATGTGGTTCCATTTGTGATACTTGTCTGATTCGGATGTCGTGTCGTCGTCTGATCCCATCCTGCTGATACTTTCGGTCTGATTCCGTGTTTGTTTGTGATTGTTGCGTGGTGTCGTCCTGATTCCATATATCAGATCCCATCGTCCGATCTGATTCTGTCTGATTCTAGACCCGTGTTTCCATCGCAGCGCGTCAAGACCCGCGCCGTCCAGTTAGCGTCGCCCGTCGAGTACGTGTATGCGATCCCAGAGCTCAACGTGGAAAGCGTCAACAGTGGCCTGTACACGTGCTTTCAACTGGGTCGCGAGTCGATGCATTTGCGTGCGACGAACGAAGTGTTTGCCCAGTTGCTTCGGGAACCATGCTTCAACCAACTCCGGACGCTGGAGCAGCTGGGGTATATTGTCTTTAGCAGCTCCCACCGGGCGCACGGCATCGAGTACTTTCGCATGATTGTGCAGTCCGACGTCGCGTCTCCTGCCTATGTTGAGCGCAGCATCGAGTTGTTTTTCCGGCTGGTTCGCACCGATATTGCCCGCTTGACCTCGGACGAATTCCAGGTAATATATATATATATATATTACCTGGAATATCTATATATATATATATATATATTGATGCGTTGGACAACAAACATGACAAGAGATAGACGTTTGTGATATATATATATATGACCTAAAAATTTGGAGTTTTGTGGTGATTCGTCAAATGTATCGATCGGTGGTGGATTCGTGGCATTGACTTTTTTTGTAAACTCGTCCAGTGTCACACTA